GAAAGCCTGAACTTTTGTTTTGTTTAGTCAGAACAATCTGACTAGATTGTCAGCCTATATAAATACTATTTTCAGAAATGTTCTCAGAATGTAGTTTAAGCTTTGCATCACCTCACCTGAAAGTACGTGTTAGGATGTGCTAAATATGCAACACAATAATTAAGTCCTTGCAGATTATGAGAGTACCAGAATCTTGTTTCTGGATTTTTTTGTGTTGCATCGTGTTCTTGACTTCTGTTGGCTGTTTTTTAATTTATATCCAGAATTTTCTACCTATTATTCATAACATTCTGTAGATTTTCCATCTTTTTCCACGTGGCCTTCAGAGTTTACTGATTATCTTATCTATGTCATCTGAGTCCATTCTCTATGCTGCTCCACTGGTGCTTTTGTTACAGAACTTCTGTTTTGCTCTGCTGCATCTCAAGTTACATTTCAGGCAAGGCATTCTAAGATGATTCTTTAAATGCTATGGTAAAGGTATTCTGAGTAGAAGAATAAAGTATTATGTTCTTTTACTGGTAGAAAACATTAGGTATTTTCTCATGATGGAATATGGAAATTGTGTACTCTGAATAATGCCATTAGAAAAGTAAGCAAACCCTTCTGCGTTTTTAAAAAGCAGTAACTAAAATGCTCCTGGGTGTAAATAATTACTTGTAGCAGCATGTTACAAATAGATGTTATTAAGTAGAGTTCCTAAATTATCAGTTGAGGGAGTCCAATTTCCTTGTTGTGGATTTCTTTTTATTAACACTAATGAGACTTGTTTCAAGGGGATAATAGACCTGTGCAGTATGGCAGAAGTTGTACAGTGGCCAGAAGTTGAACAGCATAAACAAGTCAAATTCTTACTATTTCTTTAGATCAGCACCACTTAATTTTTTTTGTTTGTTTTTTGTAGCATCACTATTTCTGGTGACCCAAGAGCCTTTTCTTTTTTACAATACAATTTTGTATGGAGACAAATGCAAGCTTTGTTAGAGGATTGTTGTATAAGATAGAAAATGGTAGGTAGCACAAGTTCCAATGATCTAAAATAGTTCTCTTGAGTGTTGGGAATTATTGCTTATTTTGTTTGTTGCCTTTGCCATTTGATAAAAACAACAGACTTTTTCTTCAGATGGGGTAGTGAATTTTATACATAGTGGTTTTGATTCTTCTTAATTCAACAAGGATTTTGCTTTTCTTTTGGCCCTGCGGTGACAGGGTAAGAGCTTTTTCTAATACTACATTTTAGTTTTCCTTTAAGTATGGCAGACAAGATACTTTGTAACTCATTGACAGCTCAACATAAATAATTTCTGCAAAATGCTCTTTAAACTTTTTAATGAGTTAATTCTGGTTTTATGCTGAAATATGAGAAGCAGTACTTCTATGTTGTTTTGTCATCTTAAAGTGCTGTGTTGTGTTCTTGGCTCCCTGGTGTGCAGACTCACTGGAGCAAGTCCAGCAAAGGGCCATGAAGGGAAACTTTCCTATGAGGAGACAGTGGGACTGTTTCACCTGGAAGAAAGAGGACTTGCAGGAATCTTAATATGTATAAATACCTGATGGGAGAGAATGAAGACTAGGGAGCCAGACTCTTCTCAGTACCCAGTGATGGACAAGTCACTGGGTGTGGATAAAATGCATGTGAAGGTCCATCTGAACACAAGAAAACATTGGGTTTTTTTGTTGGTTGTTTGTTTGGTTGGTTGGTTTTTTTTACTGTGGGAGTGGTCTAACACTGGAGCAGGTTGCCCAGACAGCTTGTAGAGTCTCTGGAATTCCTGGAGATGCTGGACACAGTCCTCAGCAACTGGTTTTACTTGTCCCTTCTTAAGAAGAGGATGAACTAGATGATTTACAGGACATCCCTTGTGATCTAAATAGTTCTGTTGACAGTGCACTTACAAGGGGAAAGGTTATAAATGAATGCATTGTACCATAAAGGTGTAATTTGTAAGTCATACTTGAAAAACATTTAAATACTGTCTGTTCAAGTTATGTTAACACTGTCCAAGCACATCATCCCTCTCTTGATACAGTGTGTGCATTGTTGCAACAATATGCTTATGTACATGTAGAAAACTTAAAACATCTATGCTAAGTGTCAAGCAAAAAACCAGGATAGTGTGCTAAATGATATAGTATTCTTAGTTGTGCCGATTAACATTGTAACAGTTGCTGTAAAGACAGTTTAGACAAGATTCTTCATTACTTGTCTCCTATTCTGGGTTATTAGAATAATAGCTAGTAATAAAATGTGTTCGTAAATTGTAAAGTCTTAATTTTGAGTAAATCAAAGAGGCTTAGTAAGCAGGTTTATTTGAATTTATAGTTACCCTGTGTAGATGAAAGTGACCTGATTTGCTGAACCATCTCTGCAAGATTGAGTGTTCATAACTGTTTAAGAAAATGGAGGACATTCATATTCTCTGCTATTCTGTATCTTTCCTCTGGAACTTGAGCTGTAATTTGTGGTGACAACTAAAGCTTCCCTAGTCCTTTTCTGCATTTATTGGTGAGGTTTTTCACCTCATCACATAGGGATGCTGAGAAAAGCAAGGTGTAATACCTAAAACACAGCATCTTCTGCAGTGAGTCTTTCCCTAAATGGGGAGACTTGAGCCAGCTTCAGAATTTTTTCTTTAGGAAAAAAAAAATTGCTTCTAGTGCTTGATTTCTTTAAACCTCTGGGACTTAGAAATAAGCTGGCACTTGTGTTTGAGGGATAGTACTTTACTCTTAAAAATAAAGGCTACTTCTTGGGAGGAGTAAAAATTTCTGAATTATGTTTTGCTATTAAAGAAAACAAAACACAAACACCACCCCCCCACCAAAAAAATCCAACACTCCCCTCCCCAACAACAAGAAAAACCAAAACAAAAAACCCCAAAGAATCACCCATATTGTCCGAAGTTCTAAGGAATGATGATACCTGCAAACAAGTTGCCTGTTATTGACATGTAGTTTTAATAAAAGTACTTCTTCATTAAATATGAAGGTTTAATGTAAGGTCTGAAATGCAGTAGATGGACTGTTCCCTTTCTCACAATTTTTGTTCTGGGTCTGACTTAGCACTAGAGGGAGAAGATGTGTGAATGGACATCAGTAAATAAGGATTCAGACAGTTGCCATTGAACATAAAGTATTTAATTGTGGTAAATAGGCTTCATTTTTCAGCTGATTTTTTGACTTCTATTGCAATAGGGAATTCTAAAAAAAAATCTGGTCAGGGTCTTCAGGTTGCCTTTAAGTAAGAGCTGCTTGAAGCTTCAAGGACCGGCGTAGTTTCAAAAGGTTCTAATAAAGGCGATAAGATCACACCTCCATTTGTCTCTTGTGCATATGCCCAGAGAGTTAACTAAATGAAAATTAATGATGAAAGCACTTCCTAAAGAATGGTGTGAAGTAAAGCTTGCAGGATGTCCGCCCAAGGCAAAATTGTGTATGTCTAACTGTATGTTAACCAACTTAAGGCTACTTCTTGGTTGTTTTAGTATAAGGTCCTGAAAGGAGGTTTTGTGCTTTGTGGGAGGGTTTAATCTTTTTTTTTAAGTTTTAATTAGGGTTTTGGGAGAAACAGTAGAAGAGGCATAACTGTAAACACTAAAGAAAAGTTATGCTTGAATATAATTACAGTTGCTGTGAGAACCTCAACTTTAAATTGTTTACTTTTTATGCTTAAGACTGTGGGAGAATATTCAGGAGTTATGAGAACATTGGTGTTCTTGCTTGTGAAGTTTCTTCTCACCTGAGAACGTTAATAGCTTGTCATTCAGTTACTTGCTTAACAGCTAGTGTTACTATAGGTAGTGCTCAGCTAGCAAGTTCTTTAGTTCAGTCTGAGTTGACAGAGGGCAGAGAGTTTTGAAGTGCCAAACATCTGTTTTCTGAGCTGTACAGCTGTCCTGGATTGCAGTTTGAGGTTAAGAACTGCTGTGTTGTTCTTGCAGGCATAAAGTGGAATTTCAAATGCTTGACCAAATGCAGCTGGGTGCATGAAGCCTTAAAAACTCAGGATCTGGTCTGATGTTTGGTAGCACTTCCAGGAGTTCAGCCTGTATAAACAACTTATTTTAGGCCTTGACATCATATCTAAAAGGACAAGCAGCAGTTAAGGAATGGGGTATTTTTTCGTCTGCTCTCACCTTTCCTTAGGTGGGAATTTGTAGTATCCATACCTCCATCACTATTTGAAAAGCAGTGAATAGGTTGTAATTATATATAAACATAATGCTCTTTATTTTTGTAGAAAGTTAGTTGTTTCGTCTTCACTATGTTTAGGTATCAGTGATGAGACTGGTCAAAGTCCAGTAAATTGCAGTGCTTTCAAAACTGTATTTATGTACCTCTTAATGATATAGACTTAAAATGCCTTTTCAATCTTTTAAATTACATGTACCAGTTATGAAGTAAAATGCAAGGATAGGGGGTCTTTTAATTTGGCATGGTACTTGAGGCTGAAGGCTAGGGTCTTGAATTATAAGTACTTTCTTAAAATTGTAGAGGAGCCAGAGTGACTTTAGGAAATCTTCTCAATCAGTACCTCAAGGCTAGTGGGAAGATGATAACCATCAAACTTGGAACTGTTTCTAACCTGAGTTTCGCTTTTTAAAAGGAGTGAGTAGTTCAGAATTCCAGGAATATCTTTTACTAGTTGTGCACTGATCAGCAAATACTGAAATTCCGAAGTGCATCAAAATTATTTTTGATTTTGTGCTGCCTATATTCATGACTGTTTTCATACTGGTTTGTTGGGGCTTTGATTTCAGCCATTTTAATCCATCAGTTTCAGAGTAGTTTTGTGGAAAATCATTTTGCAATACTAAGCTTTCAGTTATTGCCTCTTTTATGTAGTATTTCTGTAGTTCACTGTAGTATGTTTTCATATTTTCTTCTCTTTTTATGTGCTAGTGATAAAAATCCTTGCAATTTTCTTCAAAATCTTTCTGTATTGTAAAGACTTTTTTGTTAATGTTCAACCTAGTAAACATCTGTTTTGTGAACTAAAGAACAACCCTGCATTCTTTTCCTGCACATTGAAAATACAGATGCAGATCTGAGTTGCTTATGTATTATTTTTACTTTTCAGCTGTTCACAGATGGAATCACCAATAAATTAATTGGCTGCTATGTGGGTGACATAACAGACGATGTTGTTCTAGTTAGGATCTATGGAAATAAGACCGAGCTCTTAGTAGATCGAGATGAGGAAGTGAAGAGTTTCCGTGTGTTGCAGGCCCATGGCTGTGCACCTCAACTATACTGTACTTTCAATAATGGCCTGTGCTACGAGTTCATGCAGGGTGAAGCACTGGATCCAGAGCATGTATGCAATCCGGATATTTTCAGGTAAGCTTTCTATTTTTTAATTACTTCATTATTCAAGTTCTGTGATGCATTTATGGTGTTCTGTCAGGTCTAGAGATCTCAAGTTCCACTAATAAGCAGGGAGAAAAATATTTATATAAGCCTACATTAAGTTGATGCTTACACTCTCGACAGCTTGAGTTTAGCTCATTGTCCTCTCAGCTACCATGGTATTTCAGTGCTGAACAAATGATCATTGCTGCCTCTCTCATTACAATGCTTATTGTATTTAGTACCTACACCATCACCATTAGGGAGATCATTTAACATGGTGGAGTTTTAGGGGGCTGGACTTGACTAAAGAAAGTACTTCTAGCTCTTCTAATATGCTCCTTTTATGAACGGGTTCAAAATAGTCTTTCAGACAATTTTTTACACTATTAACAGTGAACACAAAGTGCTGTTGTCTTAAAGCTTTAGTTTTTCATGTAGGCACTGAAATATATTTGCCTAATGATGACAGCTAATTTAGCCAACTCTTCTAAAGATAAGCAAGTTAGAGTAGACTGTAAATACTGGTGATATACATATGCTGTATCAGAACTCCAGTGCCTTTCTCAAGTAGTGCTGCTAATGACCTTTTCAGTCTTGAAAGGTGCTACTCTATAGCTGTGCTGTAATTTAGATTCACTTGATGAAATTTTTTAAATTTGTCTGTTAAATGTTGTTTTCTCTTTTTGATAGGAAAAGTATGATAGAGACTGTCGGATATAAATTAATTATTAAGCTTTCTCTTTTTTTAGACTCATTGCCAGACAGCTTGCTAAAATCCATACTATTCATGCACACAATGGATGGATCCCTAAATCTAATCTGTGGCTGAAGATGGGGAAATATTTTTCTCTCATACCCACAGAATTTGCAGATGAGGAAGTAAATAAAAGGTAGGTATCTTATTACATGCTTTCTTGGCTTCCCATTCTTTCTGGTGAGGGGTAGAAGAAATCTTTAAAAACATTGTGTGGTAATTCAAACCACATCTTAAATTTGTAAAATTGAGTTTTGTCATACTCTTGTGTTCTGAAGTGGCAATATACATATGTCAGATGATAAGGAGAGTCTTAATTTGTACATTGTGTACAAAGCTCTTGGCTTGACAGGATACATAAATGATGGTAGTTTTCTGTATTTTTAAAGAGCCAAGGTCAAATCACCTACTTCTTTAGGTAGTTGTCTCATTTAAGAGAGCCATCAGTCTCAAACTGAGATCTGTGTTGTATGGTGAATACTAAAAGCATGTTTCCTGGAGTTGCAGTAGTACTACTTGTTCATTCTAACCTGCACTTCTTAGCTGTTCTGTATTTGTGCAGTTTATCAATTTGTCCAGAACTGGGTGATGTAAAAGTAAAGTTAATGAAAGGCTGTTTTTGATATGGGATGAACTCCCAAAGTGTGTTCCAGAGGAGGAAAAGGTCATTCTAGACCTGTGCTCTCATGGAGTGTGAATAATGGTGTCACCTGAGGTGAATTCCATTTTGAATTTGAGTTTAATTCCATTTTGGTTTTAGCATCCAATGTAGCTCTTGAGTTGTAAATAAAACTTTTTATTTTTTTCCTTAGGAGCTTAACAAAATAAGAAAGTATTTCTAAGGGTTCTAGTGTCAGTCACTGGAAGATTGGGATGAGAGGAAAGGCAAAACTAGGAACTGTGTTTAGCCTAAATAAAATTTCTGTGCTGTAAGCTTGATTTGAAGACAGTATTTCTCTGGGAGTGGAGATCAAATGCTTAAGCTAAAACTGTAATGTGGAAGTGTTTGTGCAGTTTTATCAAACTTCATGTCACTCAGGAAGCGGATTCTAGCTTAAAAACATTCTTTGTGAAACTGGAAATCTGATGTCAGCTTCTCTTCTCACTGCTTTCTGCATTGTAATTAAAGAATGTTCTAGAAAATTTGTTTGCTTTTGTTGTGTGTGTGGTTTTTTTTGGTGTTTTTTATTTGGTGGTGTTTTTTTTTCTTTTAACACTATAAAATTCTTAAGAAAACTAAGCAAACTTGAGTTAATTGAAAATCTAGAAGATAAAACGGCTACTTAATCATATTCAAACAGTTCTAACTGTGGTTAGAACTAAAAATGAAAGTTTCACTTTGTCTGTATAGATACATATAGTACTTCCTGTTGTGTATTCTTGTTGAAGGATGTAATATGAGCAAAAAAGTTAATAAAATCCATAACCCCTTTAATCTTTACTCCTTTAAAATGTACAGGATTGTATTCTGGTTCTACTCCTGACTTTTTGTCACATTTACAGCACAGAATCTTCAGAGAATTGGGGTTTTGGGGGGAGAAGGAAATAATTGTCATAATTTGATTGCTGTTGTGCCAGGGGCAAGAGTGCCTTGGTTTCAAAGAAGGTATATTGAATTATTTTAATGTAGATTGTTATTGCAGATAAGTTACTTCATTACAAATGCTTGGTATGGAACAACAGTACTAAATACTAATTCAATTCTCAAACTTCTTATACCTGAAAAGGTTTTTAAGTGACATTCCAAGTCCTCAAGTACTTCAGGAAGAGATGGCCTGGATGAAAGAAAGACTATCAAATTTAGGATCACCAGTGGTACTCTGTCACAATGACCTGTTGTGTAAGAATATTATATACAACAAGAAACGAGGTAGGTGTTGAATTAAACAGTAAGTAGTGAATGGCTTTGTTTATGCTGTAGTTGCATTTGCTACATCAGTGGTGGTGTTTTACTGGCTTGTTCAAATGAACTCAGTTTGAGCTTTTGAGACCCAGTGTAATGGTAGTCATATCTGGGCAAATGCTTAATTAACTAATTCTTACCTGTATGCTCTGTACAGAGGAAGAATGTTGTCATTCCTTGCTTTTCTTTAATGAATTAATGAATTTGTTAATACCTAATCTACCTGTATGACTAGGCTTCAAAGTACATAATGACTGTGTTAATTCTATTCCAGTTGTGTAATGTTTCTAGGTAGAAAAAGAATAATCATACAAACATAGAAAATAACCTGAAGACCTTACGTCCTTTAATGTGTGTATTGTTCTGGTTTGTGGTTGTGGGAAGACAGTTTCATAATGAAGTACCTTAGTTATACTTAAACTGTGTTGCTGAATGTAGCATTATTTTCTGCATGAGGAATATAGGCATCTTGAAGACTTACTTTGTTATTACATGCTTTATTTGAACAGTTGTAGGCAATACATGTCTTGACAAAGACAAACTACATTTTGTTTTTATTCTAATAAACGTAACTCATAATTCATGTTATTAAAAATTGCCTTTTATAATTTATAAAATTTCTATATACACCCAGTTTCTTTTATTTCTTGATTTTAGTGGTTTGAGGTTCGGTTACTAAATGAATTAATTAAACAAAAAAGGTGAACTTGTGATACTAAGATGACCATTGTTCAGTTAAAATGCACATGTTTCCTCCCATTTCAAATATCTGAATTCAGCTGAGTGCAACAAATTTAACAGATAAGATCAGGATTTTATTTTAAAGTGAGGATGACATTCCTTCTAGTAGCTTTGTATTAGTTTGACAGTTTGATAAGACTGTTGGTATGGAAGACCAAAGTGCATGAAGTAAATGACTGAATGGGACTGAAGTTTTCTCCATCAGTCATTGTTGGTCTTTGACATCTTAAGCTTATGCACCTGAAGTTCTAAATCAAAAACCAACACAAACATGCTGGAATTGTGTCTAGTGTGGAAACTGACTGTGTATGTATAACCAGTTTCTGCATCAGATAGCACTAAATGCTTGTGCATTGAGAAAATAAACTCTCAGTGGCTTGTATACAAGTTTCCCTCTGAGTAATACCGCTTGTGGAGGGAGTTGTTAGAACTTCTAGTTTATACATATATACGTACGTATGTATATATATATATACAATGCATTAGCATGAAACAAGCATATACCATGCTATTAACACAGATTTTAAATTCTAAGACTTCAGTACCAAACATCAGCGGGTTTACTTAGTTTCAATGATGGGTTATTGTTCTGCTTAAAAAGGTGGGGGAAGCATGGAAGGCAAAAAATCAGTTTGTGATCTTACACACCCTGGAGTTGTGATTTTTATAGTACCAAAAATGGATTTTTTTGTTTGTACCTTTTTTTTACTGTGTGGTTTTTTTCAGTACTGAAACTACCTTGAGTTTTAGCATTCCAGAACAGACCCATTGAGGTAAAAGTAATTTTTTTTTTATAGTAGTTTTTCATAGTAGAACCATGCTGCAAAAAAGATAATTAGAGGAGCTCCTTTAAAAGGTTCGTATCACGATCAGTAGGCTTGAAGTTCTTACTTAAAAAACAAATGCTATATGCTTTTCTTTTTGTAAACAGAATGAAGGAAAAAACAATGCCAGCAGTGCATCACTTATGAGCAATCCTACAATAACAAGTGTGTGAGTGCTTAGTGTTTGGGGGCAGGGTGGGGAGGAGGGAGGTATGTAAACTGCTTTGGCTTCAAGCTGGTTATAAACAGTTTGGGGGGGAAAGGACTTGAAAATACGAAATAAGTATGTCAAACTTATGTTTGAATGTTGCAAGTATACTGTGTTGTAAAACTTCTGCAATCTGGGTACAGCAGGTACTGTTTTCATAGTAACCAAACCTCAATGCCATATGTAGAAAGAATATTTTTCATTTGAAAGCTGTTTCTTACTGTGTACTTCTTACAGAGCAAAAAAGTTACCAATCTTGTCAGTGTAAGATGATGAGCATGATTTTAGAAGTAGAAGCTCAGATTTAGCTGTAGATAAACATGTTGCTGGAATTCTGTGTAGCAGAGCAAAAGCTTTTATTGGTACACAAATAATTTTGCAAGAGCACAAAATAGAATCTTTAAAGATGTGCTTCATTAGGAATGGCATCAAACTGTATGAAGGCAGTTAACAGCTTTGGTGATGCTGTACCCTTGCTAAATTCATTCTCCCATCTACAAAGGCTTCTGTGTACTAAAAAGACCTTGGTGATCCTAAAATGGAGTTAAAAGAGAAAAATGGTCTTTCTAAGATTAACTACTTTTTTCTTTCTCTTCTCAGTAAAGTTTGTGCAAAGCTAGTAGTCCTCATCCGGCTTTTCAGAAGCTGGCACAAACGAAATAACTCAGTTTTAGCATCACTGTATTTATCATGTAGTTTGTGAATGCTTGATTTGCACATTTACTAGGCATGGGGGTGTGTATATGTTTAAGCTACAGACTATCAACAGATACTAGGACTTCTGTACAATATAGTTAGAATGTTTATGGCTTGTCCCAGTGCTTTGGTTTAGACTTGTTCTGTGCACTAAATTAATCTTAAGTTTTCAGACTCGAAAGAAGAATCATAGTTGTGCCACATACTGTTTTTAAGAAGAATCAGTCTCATGTTCTTAAATTTTATTTATGAGACTGGAATAGCATGTTGAGTGCAAGCTTCATTTAATGGAGTCTCACTTATCTGATTTCAATTTGTTCATGCTGGGGCTGAGAACTCTGCCTCTTGCTGTTTTGTTAATGTCTGTTTTCAGTCTCTCAGGATATGAAAATTTGCAAGTGTTATTTTACATAACTCATAATTATCAGTGTAATCTACTATTTGAAGGATATAACTTGGAGATTCATGTTGTTTTTAATTACAATTCGGACATCAAGATAGTCAAAATACTCTTGATGCTTGGTACTGCTTATTTATAGACCTTATGTTCTGATGCTTTTAAAGTTTGGGTTGTTGGGGTTTTGTTTTTTTTTTTTATTTTTTTTTTTTTTCCAGCATGACCTGGGAGTTCCCAAAATACCTGGTGTTTTAAGAGTATTCAAATCTTTGCTATTCAGTAAGACCAACTATCAGTATTTTTGTCTGTATATGTATGTGCACTTTTTGAATGTATTAAAATCACCTGCCAGGAAGTTAAGTGTGTAGGTAGATGGCTAGTTTTGTTATGTTTATTCCTTCTGCCTACCCAATGTTTTCTATGATCTTTGGTAGGAGTCTGTGGGTGCTCAGTGCTTCTGAAGACTGAGGTATGTTTAAGGCTTCTGGTTTTGATCTAAAAACCTGTTTTGTTTTGCAAAGCTGAAGTGGGTATTTAGACCTAAAACTATTCCTTGGGTACATGACCCCTTTGTGAATTTTCACGTATGTTCATAGCATAGATCATTATCTTTACTGAAGCTGTTTTTTAGGGCCCCAGTGGCTCAGCTGATGAACAGGATGGGAGAGAACTCAGGATACGTCGTTCTGCTGTGGTAACTACAGCTAGGACTTGCACGTTGAAAGTGTTTATCTTGTTTAAACCATTGAAAGTGAAGAGCAGCTAGAAGGTGTCATCACCCTCTTACCTTTCAGCTCCCTGAGATCATCTAGCAGATGCTCTATCTGCTGCTACTTGATCTGTTTAAAAAAAACTAATTCCGGGTATATGGGACACATGTATTCCATTTTATATCTTTACGTGTTTTTGTAGGTTACATTGCATGTTGCCTCCACTAGGAGACCTCTGGAAGAAAGGAATGTGTTTCAAATTGAAATAGTCAATATTCTCGCCATCTCTATTCCTGTTGGTAATAGTAGCTTCTTCAGAGAGATGATAGAGCTCAGTTTTAAATCACGTCTCACTTCAATAAAACACAAATATGCTTAGAATAGTGTCTCTTGTTGGTCTGTGTGCTTTCGGTGTTATAGTGGGATATACAAGTTCTTTGTTCTTAATAGAAACCTCAAAACAGAAGCTAGCCACTTAACTGCTAATCTGAGCCATATCTTCTAGGAGTGGCTTTTCTGTGTTAAATCTTGTACCTTAAATCACAGTTTAATCTTTTAACTGTGTTTAAATCTTAAAAATAACCTCTAGTACTATGGATATTTAAACAATGCAAAGCTGATTCTGCTTCTACAAGAAGACAGCTGGGACATGCATGTTATACGTGTTTATGAAAAACTATATATTATAAAGTAGCAAACTAAGTTTTTGCTTTCTGTTTCACAGATAGAACTGTGCTTTTTTTATTTTGAGTCTTCATGCAAAAATTAAGGTTGGGTTCCACATTAGCACAAGTTTAAAAGAGAACAGTGAAAATGCAGGGCATTGAACTTTTGTCATGTCAGATGAGTTCGCCAAATTTTCTTCATCTGCTATGGATTAGGTATGCCACTGTTGCTGCCTTGTGGAGCCATGCACTGTGGTATTTGTGCACTGACTGAAAGCTTATCCTGTTGCTTTTTCACATGCATTTCTCCATAGGAGAGTGCCTCTTAATAACATCACCCGTATCATTGGATTCAATTTCTTACTCTGTGTAATATCATTTTTATCTGGGAGTAAGTTTTAAATGTTACCTGTACCTAAAAATAGTACCATATGTATGTTCAAGATGAAATTTACACATGAAATACTTAAGTTTTTCTTATGTTGATATTTTTCAAGCAGACTTTTACCTGCTGTGTTTGTGTTTTATGAGAGGGAGGAAGAAAAAAACCTGTAAATACAATCAACTTAAAATATTTGGGGGTTCAGGAGATCAATAGTGTAGCAGAATATTAACCAGGGTTGGGCTTTGTATTTTGACTGGCTTGTAACTTACAGGTGTTTCTTCTTAAAAGTAGTGCTAAAGAACCAGTGAGAAGCACAATCATATGAAGTTAAGCAGTGGCAGAAGATAATCTGTGATAGTATTATAAGATCTTGTGCAGCTGCTGTAAAGCTTCTCATCCCTTCAGTTTTAGAGAACTTAAGTTTTACATTGCCAACAAGATTTCCCTGGGAGGAGCTTGCCACTTTCCAGGCCATTTTCATGTTGGTCTGTTAGAGCCTAAAAGGTTTAACCTCATAACCTTAGTAAGCAGTTCTCCTTTACTGTGAGAGTAAGGGTAAACTCTGACGTGGGAGGATTATGACTGAGTGATTTTGTTTGTGTTGTGGGTTTCACTTCCATTGTAAATGCTTAGATGAGAAGATTTATCCATCTGAAAAACATTAATGTGTTAGCATTTCAAATATGGTAAAGATGAACTGCATAGGAAGGAACACTTTTAACAAAGTTGTTCTGTGATAACTCGGTCAGGACATTTATTTGGCAAAACTTGTATTTGACATGTGTGATACCCGTAAACCTTAAGGAGGCGGCAGTATATATTAGATGCTTAAAATTCTCAGTCTAGGGAATACAACATTTAACTTTAACATTGTTCCTTTTTTTTTTTTTTTTTTATTTTAACCTGGAGTTCTGATAGTTAGTGTCGTTTTAAGTCATGCTAGGAAGATTGTTCATTGTAATTGAAAGAATATGGTTTTATTGAGTAAATATGTAGATAGTTGTCAAAAGAATGGGTATAGAGAGGGAGAAGGGTGCAACTGTGAAAATTGCCCATTTCAGCATAGCAGTTGGAAATGCAAGGTTTTACATTTTAATGTTCTAGTGCAAAGAGCTCTCATGTTAACTCATTGCTTCCTTTTCTGATGTTTTTGTTAATTTTGTTGGTTTCCTTTCAAATACAAGAGCTGTAGTTTTACCTAATCTATCTTGTTAATGTTTTGACTGTTTCATGTGCTGTAAACCTTCTTGAACAGCTTCAATGCTGTATTGTCCTGAGTGAAACATTTTCCCCAGTTTCACTGCAGGTAAATGTAATTTGGAAACATTTGGGGCTGTTTGCTGTTTTAACAGTCCATAAGACTACATAGTTTCATAGTTTTGAGGACTTGAGGAGCCTGATGGTTTCTTCAGACTAGTTTAAGCCAGCTAAAAAAAGCAATGATTAAGAATAGTCTTGCTTCGTAAGTGTGGTTGGAGGAAGCAGGAAATACCAACGTGTTAAAGGAAATATCAACATGTTGCAATGTGTTAGTCCACTGTGGTTGCACACTTTTGTGAGAATAAACAGGACTGTTCTTTTAAGTAAGGGAGAAATTGATCTGCTATTTCTACATAAAGTTTAAATAGAGGATCCTCTGCTGAATTTCTTATTTTGAAGGTAAAGGATGCCCTCGTGTGGTAGAAGTTAAAATTGAAATTCTGCTATTCACAGTTTAAAAACAGAACTATAAGCTCAAAGTAATTATATAAGAGCTTTCTTGAATGAATATTCATGGGAATCTTGTTATATAAAAATCATAGCCTTACTCTGGGATGTCTGAGCTCATGCAATGGGGCACAAGTGTGGGTGTGTTCTGTTTTTTCTCCAAAACTTCAAAGAACACGAAGGGATTAGGGCTCTGACTTCATTTGACATGGACTGATGTTGCTGCCGTTATGTCTCACATAGGTGATGTGCAGTTCATAGACTATGAGTACTCTGGATACAACTACCTGGCTTATGACATTGGAAATCACTTCAATGAATTTGCAGGTAAAAAGTGGATTTCTGAGGTAAAGATAAATTGGTTTCATAAAAAACCCGAAAACCAAACAAAAAACCCCAAGCAAATAATAAAACAAGAACCAAAACAAAACCCAGGGAGAGAACCCCACCAAAATCCTCATGCTTGCACATTTTCTTTTTCTCTGTCTATATATCTAGATACATGATGGTATTAAGATGTGTTGATATCTACTCTTGCAGGCCAGTTATGCCCTTCCTTTGTAGCTCTGCTAAGCCAGGAAAAGGAATATCATGTCCTAAGTTTATTTAGTAGCTAGATACAGAACTCACAGCTTTGACAATGTCCTTCTGTGAAATGGTGTAGCGGAGGCAGCTAGTGGGATCATAGCTAGTGGGAGTGAACTGTGGTCCAGGCTTGTGACTCCTGGCAAGACTCTGTATGGTTTGCTACTATCTCTAGTACAGGGAGAAAAATAGGTCAGGAAGAGTGGTTATGGAGATAAAACTTCTCGTTATACCAATACTTTGTGAAGGAGAGGTAGACTTCTAACACATTTTTCTCAAATGTGAGCCTAGTTGGTGACAATGTATGTACATCTGGATTCAGCATTGGATATTGTTGCATACAAGTCCCTTTTCCTATGAAATGTATACTATCTGATATGTTGGGGAGGGCTTTTGTTTCATAATGCAGATACTTTTTGTTGAGGCTTCTTAAAGCCAAACTTGTTGAATCTCAAAATACGAGTAGGCTATGTATGTGGCTGGAGACATATACAGCACAAATCTTCTTGCTATGTTGAATGCTCTGTTTTGTGTGTGAGAAATTCTTGCCAACATGTAACTGATAGATCAAACTAAAAACATGTATGATTATCCATATCTGTGTGTGTGTGCGTGTGTTGTGGCTGGGGAAGGAGGAAGTAGTTTAGTAATGTGATTCTAATTGCATTATTAAGATACCATGAAGAATACTAAGGTATTTTGTCTTTCTCTAGGAGTAAATGAGGTAGACTACAGCCTTTATCCTAACAGAAAATTACAGGAACAATGGCTCAGATCTTACCTTGAGGCCTACAAAGAATATAAAGGATTTGGCACAGAAGTCAGTGAAAAAGAAGTTGAAGTTCTGTATGTCCAAGTCAATCAGTTTGCACTGGTAAGTAACAAACACTTGATTAGAATATATCTAATACTATAGAGAAACCTGCTACTCTGTGAGCGCATGTAATTTCCTGTTTCCTACTCTGAGTGCTGTGGCATGTAAAGGAAAAACTTCCTTAGCCTGTTCTATGGAAACTTTCTGCTATGTTTGTTAAAAATTCTCTGTAGAATATTCCTAGTGAAAGAGGCAGTGAGGATTCAGAAAACAAGATGAGCTTTTACTGAGTATTTCCACTGGCTGGTTTTTGGTGTGGTAAGTTCTCCGAGTTGGCTAAAACTTAAGAACTTTTCTTTTGATAGAGCAAGGTGGTGCTTCATAAAGACCCATAAATCTTCCAACTTTAAAAAAAGATGATAAAATTTTGTTAAGCCAGGATACGTCGTGTTTTAACTGTTTTCTTTTTTAAATACTAATAATTACATCACGCTAAAGTCTTTCAGTACTGCCATAACTCTTCCCTTGCCTGCAGTGTCTTGGCAAGCAGAGACTTGCTTTCAGATTTGGTTTCGGTCACCTTACTGATTTAAGTTGTAGCAAAGTGCTTCTGTTGTTCCCTAGAAGTCCTGCTTTTCTGTAGAGTGTGAGGATTGGCTGTGTGAGTCTACTCTTTGCTCCTCCTGTGTTTTGCGCAGTATAAGCTGACTCCTGACTGTCTTCTGCAGGTTTTGGATGTAAAAGCTTCAGTCACTTTGAAAGGCTGGAGCATGTTCAATTTTGATCTGGCTTTGGTGCCTTGACCTTCAGAGAAAAAACAGCACATCAAATGTAATTCAGGGAGGTAGAATAAGAAGTCAAATAGGTGTAGCACTGGGTCTTTGAACAGCCCAATTATATATAATGTTAGAAGGAGTTTGAAGAGGTCTTTATTTTTTTTCCAAGTTTTATGTCTGTGTGATTTCTGAAGATACTTTACAGGTTCACGTTATTTTTCTTGTTTTCCAACTAGCCCTGATCTTGTTTTGTCTAGAGGACGTGAGAGGAAATCTTACAGCAAGTGTCTGTTGCCCAATAGCTAGATCACTTTTTCTCCTGAAGAATAACATGCCAAACTATTCATGGGAAGACTAAGGCTAAGAAGTCAGTTTGGCCTTATTTCAGTCCTCTGACTAATCCAAGCACACCTCTGTTACTGTATTACCTTCAGTTTTCTGGTAAAAGCTAATGGTTGCAGTGAGAAAATGCAGTTCATGTTCTAGGAAGATGATTATTAAACAAGTCCTTAAAAATACTAGCTTGTTTGCTGTTACTCTCTAAAAATCTCTATCAACTGTTACTGTTATATTCAGCTGTCCCATTCATTTAGGAAAGTTAGATATGCTATTAACTAGGTTGGTGGTCTGTTTATATAGCATTGCTTTGTCAGTTTTGAACTATGGGCATACTACTGTTTAAGAGGATAAAGTTCTGTTTAGAGAACAGCTAAAGACTTGCCTTTGGGCCACACATGATGCACAAATACTGCCAAATGCTATTGTGTCAGTTAACGGGGGAAGCTTTGTTAAGAGAAAACGTAAACTAAAGTATATAGATGCTGGTGTGAAATGCTGAACTGCTTGCGTCAGGTGAAGCTCTCTAGAGGTACAGGATAAATTCACATGTACGTGCAGTAGTTGCTGTTTTAAGGTGTTTCCAGGCGTGTGTGCATGCATGTGTCTTCTATACTTCTGGTGAAGTGTTAACATGCAAGCTTCAGGAAGCAATTTAGGTAATTACTGTAAGCAGCTGTTTACTGAACAGAAGTCTGAAATACATCATTTGTAACTTGGGTGGTCCAGAAATGTCTTCCGCAAGGAGACTAACAAGCCAGTGTGTGTATTTGTTCATTTGAAGTATACTAGCAAACCTATTAATGTAATTCATAGTTTCAGTCTGAAACTGAACATAGGCCTCCAGACTACTTATCTGGACTCATAACGGAAGTAAGTTTGGAACAGATGAGAAATGTATGTAAATGCTGATGAGTCAGAAGTTCTTTTACATAGCTGCAGATAGTATCTCTTTGTCTAAGTCAGTAGTGAAAGTGAGTTGTAGTTATAATGGCCTAAGGGTTGTAATTGAAGATTCAAAAGGAATTTCATAATCACACTGGAGCTGAATACATGGAGAATAATACATATTTAATTAGCAGCAGGAAAAGTGGTAACTGTAATTTCTGTGTGGTTTTTCTAACACAGTGTGTATATAGTTGTACAACAGCCTCCTTAATGTTGCATTTATGAAATGGGTCATCAGTTATTTTTGTTGAAAATGACACATGGAGAATCAGGAGGCCAATGGGTGTATTCCTCCAATTGCCAGTAATTAGTTCTGTAGTGCTTCACCAATCTCTTTGGTCAAGAGATACCAAGTAACTTTACAAAGATTGGGTTTTGAGACTTCTTTTGTAGATAACCTTCAATGTGAGAATATGCTTACATGTTGGATTTTAATAATATCTTTCACCAATATTTTTATTGTTTCAGGCTTCCCACTTCTTTTGGGGACTGTGGGCTTTAATTCAAGCCAAATATTCCACCATCGACTTTGATTTTCTAGGGTAAGTGTGCTTGCTACATATAATCATAGAATACTTGAGGATGGGAGGGACTTGTGGGACCACCTGGTCCAATACTCCAGCTACTAGAAGCTATAAGGTCTGAGCAACAGACTTGATCTATGTGATCATACTATAACTCTTAAAAAGGAAGAGAAAACAAGACAGTAAAAGCTAGCTATGCTTTTTGTCACTGAAAGTTCTCTAAATTAGTATGTACCCCTGGACTACAACACAGGATGTAATGAGGCAAGGGACATACTAGAGGAGTGAATGCTTTTGGGCATTGAGCATTTTTTGTTGGCGAGACAGAAGTGTAAAAACAAAGTGGTTGGTATGCTGTCCTGCATCAGACACAAGATCTACGTTTCCAATTGCAAGAGTCAAGAAACGGGGCTCTTGTACAAAAGAGTTTGGCTATCTACTTATTGCCTGGAGTTTTCATCTTGGAAGTTTCTAATATTTTTTTAAAGAATCTTTGTAATGTCAGTGAATATGAAGTTTTGTTTCTTGAGATGCTGGCTATTGGTGTTAGCCATTAGGTAGATGTGTGTCTTGGGCATTTTTTTAAAAGGTCTTTCATGACCACAAGCAGAGGGATTCATCTCCCCACCGAGGACTGGGCAAGATGATAAAATAAATGATTTAGCTTGGTATAAGATCCCCCTTCAGAATATTTTGCTCTGACTAACCCAGCTTATTAGTGTTAGTTGTGCTATTTTGTAACTGGGACAAGTGTGAATTTGTTCTTGTGACCGTTATTCTCAAGTAGAAGTACTTGTCAGTCACCGCTAGATGGCAGAACAACCCAAGCTAAAGTACAGGTGGTAGAGGCCAGAAACTTGTTGGTTTAAATAGTCATTCTTGCAATAATCAAGATCGGATTTCTCTGGAATTGCAGTTGTCAGTTGTTGCACAGTTTGTTAAGAACTATGAAACAGGAAAGCACTACCTTTGGTAATCCTGGCACAGCATCTGTTTTGCAAACTGCAGCAAGGTGGAGTGAGGGGTGGTGGTGAGGAAGTACCATAGTATGGTTGCTGCATTCTTAATTTATTCCTTTGGCAGCTGCTATAGGTCAGTGTTGGAAACAGGGTACTGGGTAGGTGGACTTCTGACTAGTCCTAGCTTGCATGGCTGTCTTCATGTAACGTGTTACCTGCTCTTAACTTCAAGTCTCTCTCCCTTTAAATAGGTATGCAATTGTTCGCTTTAACCAGTATTTCAAAATGAAGCTGGAGGTCATGACATTAACTCTTCCTGAGTAATGAAGAGGAAGAAACTTGACCAAGTGGATAGAGAACCCCTGAATCTTTTCTGAGAACAGATACTGGAAAAAAGCTAAACATTTTTTGAAGTTCTGTTAATGCTCACTTGGTGGTTCTTGCTTTATAAATAATGCCTCTAAACAGTCCTTCAATGTTAAATTTAATATGAAGAGCATACGTACTGCTGTGATATAAAACGGATTAGAAACTTGCTAAATCTATAAAAAGTTGTAGAAATGGCGATTTAATCCTTCTTTGTAATTTAACATGTTGTATGTGAATTATTTATTATAAGTTTAACATGATTCCATTGCTGCTTTCATCCGTTTTTTGTAAAAGTTGGGTGCAGACAGTGACGTTGTTCCAAAGGATTCATTTAACAACTTGTTTTATTAAAGTTGTGTTAACTTATATTAAAGAAAACATGGTTGGAGAATATTAACCTTAGATGTGTACAAGCAAGATGAGTGATGTTAGACATGTGAGATCACCCTGTGGTGTAACTAGGGAAAAAGGTGAGAATGATTTTTGATTTTTTTTTTTGTGTCCCCTTTTTTTTTTTTTTTTTTTAATACCTCTTTCCTCCCTCCCCCCCCAAGAAAAACGTAGCTTTCCATATGATGGTACTTTTCTTTTGTATAGAATCAATGAGTTAGTTTGCTGAACTGATAAATAACATTTTCGGGGGTTTCCTTTCTTTTTCCTTCTAAGCTGTAGAAATGTGAAAGTTCTGTGGCCGTAAGATTCTGTTGCGAATATGTACCATCATAGTGTTAGATGGACAATGTACTGTCTCTAACTTCTGTGGGAAAGCTGCTTGTTTATTAAGTGTACTTTTAAAGCAAAAGACCACTATCCCACACCTATTGGATTTTGAAACTTGGTTCTAAATTTGAATGCTATTCTGGTATCTATTTTTGATGTGCTTCAGCAGTATCTGGCAAAATGGACTATTGAACTGAAGACTAGTGAACAGAGATCCTGTTGTACTGGGGAGCAAGACACTTAGGTTTACAATTGTGTGTTGTTGACATCTTTTTGCTTTGTCACCTTCTAACCTTGGATTCTAGTCTTAAATACTTGGTCCTTAAATACTTGCAATTGCAGATTCTGGTATGTCTGGGGTTTCTTTTTCATTTTTTTTTTTCTTTTCCTGTGGCAGCAAATTACTTTCAAAATCTCCAGTTTGAAGGATAATCTGGAAAAGTCCATGACTTGAATAATGGGGCTTTGATCATCGCAGATTTTCTTATTTCTTAAAGCTATTATACCAAGAATGGTCTGGATTGCAAAATGTGAATTGAAAAGAAAATGTTTACTTAACAAAACAATGTATATGTTTGCATGGAAAAGAGGCTTTAAATCTGGAAAGGGGGGTGGGTGGGCAGGGGTAGAAATCCACAACAGAGAAATAGAACCTGACAAGGCAGTGTGGAGTTGGGCAGGCATGTGCTCAACTCTGGTTATACTCTGAAAAACTTTGCACTTTGGTCACATAAGTGCCCACATGTACAAAGTCTATGTGTGTGCATATACAGGTGCAAACACAAACTTACCTGAAGAGTAAATATTATGGGGAGTCTGTTGTATAGACCCTAGCAAAGATATTTATTCCAAATTGCTTTATGGCACACTGCTGTGTGTGTATGTGTGTATATGTGTATACGTATGTACACATATATATACATATGTGCTTTGCAAAAGCTTGGATTGATTCAGGACAAAGGAAATTGATGTGAATGAAAAATTTTCACCTTGAAAGACCATTTTGAATGGTGTTCTGTTATTTTACAAAAGCAAGGTTTGGAACTTTTTTATTCCTCTTGTTTATATTCATCTCTGAATGCTTCTCTTTTTTATTTCCTTCAGTCAGAACCTTAAGCCTAATACAAATGGGAGAACTGGGATTTTTTTTCTTTTTTTGTAACTTGAAATTCTGTAACCATTTTTGTTAGCATTTATTAGCTGGAGCCTACTATACTGGACAAATTTTCTTGGTAGTTAAACACAAACAAATAGCTAAAATAGGCACAGTTTTCTTTGTAGCAGTTTTCAAGGATGTTGCTAGAGCTCATGAATGCACTGAAGACTTTAATTTTCTGTACTTTCTGCCTGTTGATATCAATGTATGTTGGGTAATACCCTGCTGTCTTGGTAGTTCCTTTAAGTTTAGCAAGATCTGCTTTGGAAGTAAGATTGATAAAGATATTTGAACTCTTGCTACTATTTTCTTCGAGTGGTGGCTTTATTTCTGGCAGTGTTGCTTTGTATTTGTGAAATATTTGAAAAAGGCTGTGAAGTTCACTTGGTCCTGGGAAATCCAACACTTGACAGCTCCTAACTTTCCCAACAGTTTGCAGAACACATTCCCTTTTTAGGTACCAGTACTATTTAAGTTGGGAGTTAGTGTAATTTTTTTCTTGGGTAGTATTTTTGTTTGTATAGCTCAAGTAGCAATAACTGTAGGAGTGGAAGCTTGATTCTGCAGAACCAAAGCTCTTCACGAGTGCAGCTCAATCTCCTTGTGGAATGAATTTCCACTGAATCTCATAAAAGCACTTTGAAGCAGATAGTAAATACTGCAAGCTTTTCCTGAGCCACTTTGAAGAAGCACAAGGGTTATCACAGGTTACAGTGGTTGACTTTGCAGTACTGGTAGAGGCTTTCATTTTGCATGTTGAAATTCATTTTACACACTGAAATGCTGCTTTGCATCAGCTTTCTTTCAAGACAAATGCAGATTAAACCAGTTCCTGTTAAGTTCTGAGGAAATACTGTAACACATTTTCCAAAATGAAATGCCGGTTACCTTGAGCCTTGTTCCACATCAGTGTGAGCCAGTAGCACTCAGATATTCTCGCTTGCTAAGGGATATCTCCCAGATGCGTTAAGTTTGAAGCAGTAGTTTGCAATAGCGCTGCAGATCATAAGGTAGCTTGAAACTGTGAATACAGGACATTCTGAATGTAAGTTAGGTACTAGAGCACCGAACTAGAGAACATGTACTCGTTTGAATTAATTTATCTCGGTCTCTTCAATAGCAATGTTAAGATATTTCAAATGACTGAGCTCTAGAAACATCCTGTATTAGTTTTGACTGTGACTTGCCAAGAAGATACTCTGTTGCCTTTATGTTAAGCTAAGGGCATGAATGCCAAAGTTAATAATCCTTACTGTAGTTAAACCTATATTGTAAATATGAAGAGGGTTATTAGTAAGGGCATTCTTGCATAAATAGCATCAAGTCAATAGACCATAGTGGCCTGGTTGCTTTTGTAAAGCAGAATAGTGTGAATTTTTTTCTTCTCATTTCTGCAGTCAGATCTGGCTATTCCATGGCTGATTTCTTAGGTCACCAAAGCATTAAAGATTTCTGAATGGTAACTGGTCTTTTGTCACATAACTTTGAATTCCTTCATTGACATTTTCTGATTTGCATTTTAAAAGGACTTAAAAAAATTTGCATTAACCAGGTCTGACGGTATATGTATATACAACAGTGTAAATAACCATTTGTAAATTAGTGTGAATTGTACTGTATCTTGCATTTATGGACTTGTGTATTGCATTGTATTCTCTCCTATTTTGTAGAAATTCTGATGTAAAGAATAACTCTGTGTGCGAACTTCTTTTGTTAAATTGACCTGTAACAGAGCATAATAGTTTCATGTTAAGGTATCCATTTATAGCGTTGGGCATCCAGTGTCTTTTCTCTTCCCCATTAGCTTTTTTGTCATCTTGCTCTTGGGAATGATTCTGGGAATAAAGGAATTCATGCAGTACTAAGATGAAGAGAAAGCCTGTTCTAATAATAGGGCAAACTATGTGTCAGAGGTACGTGTAGTACCTGTGGTGTAGGGGAAGCTGTTAAATTTGTTTACTCAAACTTCCAAAAATTTCCTATGCATTCTTGAATGCTGGTGACTTCTAAACATGAGCATGTTGAGTTGGGTGTGCTCCAATGGTGACAGCAATTGAGTTAGTTGTGATAGAAGTCCCCCAAATTAAAAGGTTTTTGGTGCATATAGCCTTATAATAGGGTTAGTTGTTAACTTGTAAATGCTTATGATAAATGCCCAAATCACTAAAATAGTTCTACCATGTTTTCTTCCACACTAGACTTATTGGTAGCCCCTTTAGACTACTTGAAACTTAACCTAGGTGTTTTCCCTGTGTGCCACTGCTTCCCCCTCCTCCCTGTGCCCACACCTTTCTTTGTTAGGGGGGACATGGATAGAAAAGCTTCCTTTCTGTATGTAATTGTCACTATTTCCTTTTTGAAAACTCTTCTGTTTTGTCAGTATGTGACTTCTCATCAGGTTTTTTTTTGTGTGTGTAGGAAGTCCCTTTCTGAAGAGGCCTTTAACCTTGGAAGCATAGACATAATGAAGCGTAGTTTTCCCCAAATTCCTAACTATATTTAATTACTGTTGCCTTTCACTGTCCATTTTGAAGTCCATAGGGCCATTAAAGCTCTTAGTTTATTCTTGTCACTGCTGTGTTTAGTAACTGCTGAAAAATACTGGTGTGAAAGTCTCATTGTCTGTCTGACAGATGGATCTTGGTACAGTTTGTGCACCCTGTCAGCTTTACGTGCACCAGGTGACAGGTACATGCGCTTATCAATGTTGATGTTTTAAGTTACTAGGGTCCTGGGAAGTGAGTTTATTAAACAAAGATTAGTCAAGATGGGCTCAGTTAATGTAAGTAAAAGGAAATAATTCACATGGAAATCCAAGCTTAAGTTTCTGATGTAGCAAGGTATTGGATATGCTTATTTGCTTGCATGTTTTAAGGATTAGAGCAAATTGCAAAGGGTAGTATTTGTTTCAAAATGAAGTTTAGGGTTTTTTTTGGTTTTTTTTTTTTTTTTTTTTTTTTTAAAGCCTTTGGTATCTAACAAAAGCTTACAGAATAACCTTTAGTTACTCCTCCCAAATAGAAGTCTTCAATCAAATTTTGGTAATGAATTAAATAAGTTTGCTCCATAGCCCAGTGGAATGTAATCTCTTGCTTGAGATAGTCCTTCCTGCAGTTCGCAGAGGAGGAGGTTTGCCACATCTCACCTATCTGTGTTTGAGGTGGCTGTCTAGTCTTGATTTGTCTCCATGTTTTTGTGTTGTTTACTGTGTCCTTGGATGCCTTCTAAGGTATGCTAGATTACTAAACCGCTGGAATTAGCTACTGTCTCCTACCATCTCTTCCACTCCGTGCAGGTTGTAATTGTAGTAGTAGAACAGAAGCATTTGGTCAAACCTTGAGGTAATGCAAGGCTGATGTTGAGCAGACTTGCAGCTGATACTTACACCTTCCCTCTGCCCTGCCCCTTCCCCCTCTCCCTTTATTTCTGTGAGTTGGGGGCTGATTGTTTTCATTAGTTGTAAAAGATATAAAAAGCCAAAAACATTTGGTCTTGTACGAGGTAGGATTTCCATTAGCCAGTCACAAAACATTTA